TATACAGGGTGGTTGGTAACTGGTGGTACAAGCGGAAAGGGGGTGATTCTACGCGAAAAAAGAAGTCGAAAGTATAGAATAAAAATTTTTTTTTTTAATTTTTCCATCGAGACAACGATCTACAGTGAGATCCGTCATAACGAGACGCGATAAAGTGCACGCGTGTCGAGCGAAAATTCAAAGCCGATTTTCTCGAAAACAAAGCCTCGAACGAAAAATCTTTATTCTATATTTTCGACTTCTTTTTTCGCGTAGAATCACCCCCTTTTCGCTTGTACCACCAGTTACCAACCACCCTGTATAATACGGTGTAGAACGTATGAATGAAAATAATGATTTTGTGTCATGCTATATTAGAGATAATCGAGGACATATACATATTTATGTACGTTATAAATAAATTAAATTAACTAAAATATAATATTCTGTATTCGATTCAATAGCAAAATCAAAAACATTTAGGACGTTGATAATTTTTCACGTATACCGGATACTATTATTTGATTACATATTAGTGCAGTCTCTTGAAATGATCGTAAGCACTCGAAACTATATTAATCGATCATCACTCGCGTCTCGTGCATAACGCATAAGGTCAAGGCAAGTTAATACAATTTCTTCGTTATAATTCTCTATTCGTTCTCACTTTTAATAATTACATATCGAGAAACGAGTCACGTTAACGTCGCGCGTATATATCGATCGAAAAATTGAATAATTTTTAACATTTTCTATGTTAATTTCTACAAATAGATTAAAATAAGAACGAAGAATTACGTGGCAACAACAGAGAAAATAACCATATTGAATCACATGATTGCACTTCCGAAATTCATAGATCCAACTGAGCATCGATTCAGACTTATATGCAGCTGACTTTGAAACACGTTGCTGATTTTTGTGCTTTCTGTCATTGCAATTTGTCGACAAATATACGATACAACACATAGCATGGAGTATAACATAGAAAGTGCCATAATCATTGTATGCATAATCATAGCGATCGTTGGTCTGTACCGATCTAAGGTGAATACGTAATGGATCTTTTTTTAATTATATAGTATAAAGCATCACACTGTTTCTTTTGAAAAATAAAAAAGTATATTTGCTGGTGTGTTTATTATTTCATATTTTAAGAAGTAAATAAATAATATAAATCAGCGAAGTATTGATTTTTGAAACAATTGAATATTTTAAAAATTATCTTTAAGAGAATTTAATCTATTTACTAAAAGAAAGAGATGTTTATTTATTTGACATATCTGAAACAATGAAAATCTATTCATCGAATATTACTGGCTAAAGCAAGTATAAGAATATAGAAATGCAAAATGAAATTTTCACTCAAATTGTACACTGTAATTACTTTCGTTCTTTTCGTTTATCATTCAGAATGCATCGTCTTATCATATAAGACATATCCGATCTCCATATGTCCAATACGTGTCCATCTGCAAAAGAACTGATAACAAACATCAAGACGTGCCCTTTTCGACGTCATTCAACTCCTGCTTCAAACGTTTTTCTCGTGCAGTAAATAATTTTATTATAACGTGAAGTAATAAAGTAAAATGCTTCATGCTACTTAAAATGGGCTATATCTATGGCTTTCCTCCATAATATCACGATAATTACTTCCTATCTGATCACGAAATTTAAACATATCGTAAATAATGCAATTGGAAGTGTTAGTGGAAATTAACATCATTTTTCGAGAGAAAAGTTTAACGCGACCTATGGTTCTGTAGTACAGAATACGACGCAAGCAGAAAAGATGTTAACCTTTGGTCCTTCAACTTCAAGATCAGGTCGAATTTTGTGGCAACCTTTCACGTCAGGCTCCACTATACTGAGAATGTACAATCACTGTACTGTGGAGATATTGACTCCAATTTTGTTTCATACCATACGCCATACCTAAAGGATAAATTAAATTAATTAGAAAATATTCTAATATTCCATGTACGACGCAATATCAATTGAAACACACCTAGTACATCACCGATTTTTCACATATGTTTAATAAAACAATTAGTGCAATCTTTTGAAATAATCGTAATCGTTGGAAAGAATATTATTCGATCATCACTTACGTTCCGACGATATCTCATAAGGTCACGTCAAGGTAAATTATCCACTTTTCCTCCATCATAATTTCATAGATTGCATTATATCGAAAACATGAAAACTTTTCTTATATCTAATAATTGAATATCCGATATTCAATATATCCGGGAATCGCTAGCACCTTCAGTTGCATAGAGGAATGAGTCACGTTAATATCGCGTGTAGATATCGCGCTGTAGAACGTTGAACAATTTTTAACATTTTTCACGTTAATTTCTAAAAATAAATTGAAACAAGTATGAACAATTACAAGGCAACAACCAAGATAATAACCATATTAAATACCATTGCGATACTTCGAAACTTCATAGATCCAGTTAAACATAAATTCAAATTTATATGCAGCTGGATTTTGACTACGTTTCTGGTTGTCGTTTTTCCTCCCATCATAATTTACATACAAATGAACGATATAAAACAACACATGGCGTATAACATAGAAAGTGTTACATACATGTTCCAATATATCATCCATGATCTTGGATACATAAGCATAGTGATCATTGGCCAGTACCAGTCTAAGGTAAATTTTTTCAATTACTTAGTATAATTTGTTTCCTACGAAAAATGAAAAAGTATATTACTAAGTATATTTATTTCTTATTCTGTATTTGTTAGCAAATAAATAATATAAGTAAACGAAGTATTAAGTTCTCAAATAAGATGAACGTGATTTATTTGCTAAGAGAATGTTTATTTACTTGACACATCTGAAATAATCAAAATCTATTCACCGACTATTACTGTGTAAAAACTCGAAAAGGAAAAATTACATTTTTACGTATATTAAACGATTCAATCGCTTCTAAATTTGTCGTTTATTATTCAGAATGCAATGACGTTGATAGAGCGCATTGACAAAGTGGACAAAATTTTCAAGGAACTAGGAATCGAAATCGAGTATCGCAGTTTGTTTCGTCACATGATGATCGTCGGGTCCTTCTGGTTATTAAATGCGGTCATAATATTTGCACTTTTCACAAAGATGTTAATACAACGCTCCGCACTGTATACCATAGCATTTCTTATATTCATTTACTGTTACATTACGAACGCCCAATCAATCATTTTATACGACTACAACACTGCCGTATAGTACGTAAACAATCTTCTTTAATAAAATCATTATCCGTGCACCTGGAGGTTTAAACGTTGCTACTTTTCGAAATTCTTTTGCTATTACAGTTGGCTAGGATCGCGATTTAAAAATATAAATCAGCTCATGGAAACGTTTGTCTTGAAGAATTCTCAAGTAGAAACAGAGGATCCCGATACGGAAACCATCTTCGAACCGAGTCATAATTTTCGAAACAGATTCGAATTGGACGATTGGTTGTCCGAACGAACTGTAAAAGTTTTACAAGTAAATTCCACTAACAACACTCGGAAGTTAAAACAAAGATCACTGTCCGACGATAAAATTCGTTTGCTTCAACGAATCAGGTAAATAAACGTCGAATTAATAACAATTACAGCCACGGATAATGGCAAGTATAAAAACACGGAAAGAAAATGATAAAACAATATTTCTAGACGAAATTGTCTTTGGCGATTAAACCTATTGCACCATTTGAGCTTTTCTTTTAAAATTCTGAATCGAGAATTCGAGAATTCTTTTGTAAAATGTATCTGTAATTTACACTTCCTCTTGTCTTTTGTCGCTACATATTGTTATGAACTTTTGGACAAATAAAAAGATTTGAATATTTGCCAACTTGAAGATTCGCGCATCTGCAAGTGTGCAACATATCGAAGATGGTGAACCAAATATTCAACGCCCAAATATTAATATACACGACCGTGATACTACTAAATTGTAGTATATCTGTCTACTCCTTGTACATGCATTTCTCCAGACCATCTACTAGCACAATTTCGATAGAATTAATAATGATGTACGTGCTGAACAACGTCCTTGCTGCATTGAAAATCCCTCTAATGAGCTACGATTGCGAAAACACAATGAGACAGGTGAAAACTTTGTTCTTCACTTTTTTTAATCCCACTGCGTGGGCCAATCTTCAGCAAAACGTATTTTCCTATTATACTGCAAAATGTCATTAATTATGAATAACAGCGTATTGCAATTGGTATATTATCGTTAGAA